ACCCCCCATGAAAGCCGGGGGCACTTGCCGTTAAGAAGACCCTACAATAAGTGTCATGGGGCCCCCAGAAAATGTTCAACCCGCCTCCCAGCATCAAAAAGGGGGATTACCAAAAGACCCCTGGCAGTCTTTTAAACTGGCACGGACAAACACCTAAAAATCAGTTCCTGATCAGCCGGGGTGTGGCCCCGTACGTTTTTCGTGGGAGCCCCCAAGCAAAAGCCTTTTTTTATCAGGGCCCCGACCACCAGAGGCCTGGTCACGACAGGGGGCCCCGGGGGTTTTTACCCCGGAACCCCTCTCCAGGTAAAAATCCAGGGGAAACAATTTAATGGGAAGTGGTGAGACTTTATGCAAAAACTTTAAAATTTAAATGCTTATACATACTTAAAAAATAAGTTCTAAAAAAAGTTTGTCGTTTGATTGGGAAAAAGTAAGTTTATTTTAGGTAAAGAAAATACATTTAATTTCAGTTACATAAAAAAATCATACAAACAAATATATGTAAGATTACCTGGGATTAAACCCCAAAAAAAAAAATCAGACAAAGTGACTTTTTTCCAAAATTGGGGGTCCATAGATTATTTCCAAGGGCGTATTAAATTTTAAAGGGAAGACACGGGAAAATGGTACAGGAAAAACAAAAAATATAATCAAATTTAAAAGTTAAACCCCCCAAAAAACATACAGCGCTTCAGGGAAAGATGTGCAAAGGGGAAAGTGCAAAGGTGATGAATGAAGACAGGAGTGAGGGAAGGGAGGGTGATTGAGGAGGGGTAGGGAAGATGGGAAAAAAAAGAGAATTAAAATCACAGTTAGTGCCCTAATTTTATTTTTGGGTATAAAGTTTTTGAAGTTTGGGGACAGGGAAAAAATCAAAGAAAAAACCAAAAAAATGAATTTCCACATAATCTTTGACGTACTGGGTTTTTCTAGGGTTTAAAATTGTACAAAAAAATTTAAAATTTAAAACATTAAACTTGTGCCCCCTAACATTTAAAATGCCCGTAAAGTTGGTGGTCAACACCCCAATGGAAATAAGTCACTTTTGCTGACTTTTTTGGGTTTTCCTAGGTAAATTTCACAAGTAAATTGTGGGGGTACCCAACTATTTGTTTGGTTTTCAGGGGTCGATTTTTAGCCCTGGCCCCCCCTCTTCGCTGTTGGTTGGTTGGGGTTGTGTTGGTGTGTGTTTTGGGGGTGTAAATTCCCCCTAATTGTTGGTTTCAGGGGCGAGACTCAGCTCCTGGCCCCGCCTCTTTATGAAACGCTACTAGGTCCTCTCCCTCTCTGCCCTTTCCCGGGGCTTTGTCATACCTCTTCTTAAAACTATGTTGGTTTCCCGCCTCCACTACTTCACTTGCGTGTTTGTACTCACCTAGATTTAGTTTTTCAGGGGGCGGGGTCCGAGCTCCGGGGCCCGGGCCCCTTTAAATGATCGTACTAGGTCACTCTCCCTGAGCCTGAGCTTTATCAAACCTCTGCTTAAAGCTATGTAATTTACCTGCCCCCACATCCCCTTCCCCAAAATATTCCCCTAACCCGACTACTCTGTGGCCTTTAAGAAATACTTCCTAACCCTCCCTGTGATTCATCTTTTTTTTTCATTTTCCCAAATGTGTCCCCCCTTTTTACTGTTCCAATCCTGGAAACCTTTCTTTGTTCCCCCTTGCAATTCCCTCATATTTTGTATGGGCCCTTATCATGTCCCCCCTATTTTCCCCCCTGTCCTCCCCGTGTCTCATTTGATTTCCCTTAACCTCTCCCCCTAAGGACATACCTCTTAGCTCTGGGGCAAATCTTGGCAAACCTTTGCCCCTTTCTCTAGTTTCTTCACGTGCTTTGGGTTGGTTTTGGGTTCCAAAAATGGTGCCGCATACTCCAATATGGGCCTAACTACCAGTGTACAGGGTCCCCGAATGAAACCTTAAAATTAAAAAAAGTCGGAATGCTGTTCTGAGGTTTGGGTAGGCGCCCATATGCCACAAATTAATTTTGGGTTTAAGTCGCTTCAGGAAAGGGTCTGGTTTTTTTAAAATCAACCCCCAAAAATCCTTTTTTCCCTTTAGTGAGGTTTTTATTCCCTGACCCCCTAGACTGTACTCCGTCTGCGGCCCTTTTTTGCCCCCTTTCCCCCAAACTTTATGAATTTTTCACTTTGGGGGGAAAATTGGGAAATCCCGGAGCCAATTGCTGGGCCAGTCTGCAGCCTGTCCGATCCCTTTTTAGTTCTGCCCCGGTCTTTTGATCGAGGGGAATTCTTTTCATAAAATTCACGTCCCTCCCAAAAAGGGAAAACCCCAAAGTCTAAAATTTTCCCTTTCCCTCCCTGTCCCTTCACAAAATACAGAAACCGCACTGGGCCCAAGGACTGACCCCCCCGCGGGGCCCCGCTGGTCACAGGGGCCCACTCTGACACCCGCCACGAAACCAAAGACTCGCTGCTGGGCTTCCTACAAGTATTTCCCCGATTCAAATTTTAAATGCCTTCCCCGTTTTCCCTGCTTGGTCCTCCAGTTTTTGCACCCCAAATTTTCTTTTGTGGAACCCGGTCAAAAAGCCTTCTTGTTCCCCAAAAAAAGCAAAACCACCCACCCCCTCTTCCGGGGGGGTTTCTGCTTCACCTTTTCCCCTAGGAAATCCAGTAGGTTTTTTGGGCACAGGAAAAATTTCCCCCCCCCGAAACCATTTGGGCTGCTGGTTTATGAGATGTTCCCTTTTTAGGGTTCCCCCCCACTCTTTCTCCTGATAAAACTTCTCCATGAAATTTTTCATACTATACATGTCAGTGACACTGGTCTGTAAATTTAATGCTTCATGTCTGTCTCCTTTTTTAAAATTGGGGCTACATTTGCTGTCTTCCGGGGGTGCCTCAAGGGAATTTTCCCGTTTTTGATAGATGTATTAATTTTTGTTGTTAGGGGGGAACAATGTGTGTGTGTGTGGGTTTTGTGTGTTTTGTGTGTGTGTGTGTGTTGTGTGGGGTGTGTGTGTGTGTGTGTTTTGGGGTGTGTGGGGTGTGTGTGTGTGTGTGGGGTGTGTGTGTGTGCGTTTGTGGTGTGTGCCTGGGCCAAATAAACTTCCTTTTATACAACATTATAGGTAAACAGCACCACAGTTTTTTCCCTATGTAGTGGTTTTTCACGTGCCCCCACACGCGCAAGGTCCCCCCGGTTTGATCCCGGGGGAAACATTTACTTTAGGGGAACGAAGGAAAAAGGTCACCCGTGGTTTGGCTTAATTGGGGAAATTTTAGGTTTTTAAACAAAATAATGAACCTTTTAAAGTTTCCTAAAACATCTATAATTTTTCTTTTACTTTTAAAATAAAATGCTATGTTTCTTATTTAAAAAGCATGAATTTAAGAAAAAAAATTTAACTTGGAAGTCAGGGACCCAAAATGCCCCCAAAAATGCTTCAAATTTACTTTTCTAGGGGTATTTTAAATAAGTTTTCCCTATTTTAAAGGGGTTTTCACGTGCGCCTCACAAAGCCCCAAGGTTTCCCCGGTTCGATCCCCGGGGGGAAACATTTTTCTTTAGGTACAAGGAAATAGGTCACTTGTTTGGCTGTAATGTGGGATTCAAGGGTTTAAAACTACATAAAAGAAAATTTCATGTGCCTAAAACATCTAAATGTTTTTTTTTGACTTTTTTAAAAAAAAATCTATGTTTCGTATTTTAAAGCATGAATTTAAGAAAAATAAAACACTTGGGAATCAGGCACAAAGATGCACCAAAAAAAAAATTCAAAAAAATTCTCTAGGGCTAGTAAGTAAGTTTCCGTAGTGTAATGGTTATCACGTTTTTTCCTCACCCCCGCAAGGCCCCGGTTTTGGGTCCCGGGCGGAAACCAAAGTTTTTTTTTTTTTTTTTTAAGAGGGGAGGAGCTCTGAAAGGGAAATGAATACACAGTAGGGAGCGAACACACACATTTGGATGGCAGCTGAAAACCCCAATGATGGGAGGTTTAACACCAAAATGGTGGGAGCTCAACACACATGGATGGCCCGCTAAACACCCCAATGATGGGACTGAACACACACATGGATGGCAGCTGAACACACATGGATTGGGAGCTGAAAAACACAATGATGGGAGCTGAACCCCACAAATGGCACGGAGACGAAGAAGACCACAGAATTGCAGGGGAACTCTCTGGGAAAAGGCAAAACGTAAAGGAACTACAGGGAAAAAAAAATATAAGGCCCCAGAGACCGTCTCCCGATTTAGTGTTTGTGGAAATGGCTAGGAACCCTACAGTTGGCGATATTTAAAAGGTTTAGGGCCCGGGGCTTTTGTAGTAAAACCCCCCAAAAAATAACAAGAAAGAAATATTAATCGGTCTGCCTACTTTTTTGCCCGACTGAAGAAGCCTACTGGTAGGCGACACGTTTCGGGAAAAACCGATGCCCCAACCTTTTGCGTATGGTCTTGCTTTTCAAAAATTAGTCCCCTTTCGGTTTTTTTAAAACATTAAATATTTTTGGGTTGGGCCCCTCAGGAAGGCTCCTTGAAAGCTGGGGAGGGGCCCCTTGATCTAGGGAATTTTGGGTCTGTGCCCAGTTCCCCTAATTAACCTGAATGCCTTCCATCCCCCCAAAGGCGCTTTTATAAAACCTACGGGTTTAGTCTTTCCCCCCTTTATTATAATTTAAAAAAAATTAAAAAATATTTTCTGAAACCAGTTTCAGTATGGGGTAGTCCCAAAAAAAAAATAATTTAATTAAAATTATAATTAAAAAGAAACGCTGAACCTACAAGGGGCCCCAAAAATTTATAAAATAAAAAAAAAAAAAACTGAAAAAAAAACACTGGCAAAGCTGAGTTGCAATCTTTGTAAAGTCTGTTTATCTAGTCGAGGTAAAAATTTAACCTTACTGAAAATGAAAACACACTTTTTGACTTTGTTGAATTATCGTAAATTTTTAAAACATGGGGTAAGAGCGCTGAGGGAAAAACTCAGGATTATTAAAACCCCAAAAAAAATAACCGATTTACTTATTTCCAACCCGGGGTACGCATTTCTGGGTTTTCCCCCGGGAAAAGGTGGGTTCCCTCTTCATAGACAATCTTGGTCTGTATATGTTTCTGAAGGTTGTCCAGCTCAGTGGTCCTCTCCTCCTGGGCGAGGTACCGGCCTTCGTAGACGTTCAGTAACTTCTTGTCCAGCTTCGATCCAGTGTTGGGTCTGGACGCTGCACGAATATTAACGTCCTGTTACAATAAACATATGCTGCTATGTATGATAGTTCTACGTAACTGTATCTGTGTATACCTGAATAAACTTACTTACTAACGAGGAGAATCGATTAACAAACAACACACACTTTGGCTAAAGGACACTTTAGATGTTTTTTCGGACCCCAATAGAAATAAGACACTTTTGCTGACTATGGGGGGTTTATTCTAGGCAATTTACAAGTACGTATGTGTACCTGTGCCTAAATAAACTTACTTGGCCCATCCTGGACCATTAGGATCGTGGTCTATGGCGAACCAAAACAATGAATAAAGTTTTCTCTCCAACGCGTCAGTTGACTGAACTGTTCCAACAATTTACTGTCACTTTTAACCATCATATAGGACCCTCTTATATGTTAATTGAATGTTTTCTTAATAGAGGCTTTGTTTTAGGAGTATTTGGACAACCCAAATTATTATTATTATTACAATTAAAACCAAACGCTAAACCCACCAGGGTCATACAGCGCTGAGGACAACCCAAAGATAAGTATTAATAGATTTTATTCTGATTATTAACCCTTAGATTCCAGAATAACACAAGAAAGAAACTCTGGCTTATTTCCATTTGGAGGTCTTGTGCAGCGAGAGATAAAGACTGAGGTGACACATAACCCACACCACAGCCTCGCCACTTACCAGACCTAAGAAGAGTTCCTCCTGGAAGCGCATTTGACGCACTCTGCGCCTGGCTAGCATGCCTCGTGTGCACGCCTGCAGCCTCACCACTGCTACCTCCAGTGACACTTGCTGACGTCCTCTACCTCGCTCACGTTCCTGCCAGGGAGAGGTACAATGTAACAATCACTGTACACCCTAATGTTCCTTAAAAGGGGTAAATGCACTAACAAAAATAATTACGGCACATTTCCCCACATTTCTGAGGGAGAATTTCATCGTAGCAGACACAATCACACCACATTTAGCATTTCTCTCAGGAAGAATCTCCCCGTGAGAAACACACTGTGGGATGTATTTCTTGAACATTGCTTATGGCTTTCACTTCAGTTTAATGGTCGTGTAATATCGGTCTTGAGAAGTACTCAGCTCAGTAATTTTGAAGATTTTTTTTTATTATAAACGCTAAACCCATGTGGGTCACTGGGTCATTCAGGCTTGACCCTCTGTCTGCTCAGAGCGATACAGACGCACTCTACCCGTAATCTTGAAAAATGGACTATGGATATAAATATGACATGTCGTTAAGACACTTGTCAATATTGTATACCATTATAATATTCATATTGACTACGGAGCTGAACGCCTCTCAAGGCTGACCATCTCAAGGCTGATGAGTTGGTTACCTGTTTAGCTATGAGGTCACGACGGTGGTCAGACTTGGCCCTGCCTTGCTTAGCTCTCTCATGCTTCTGCAGCAGCAGGATGGCCTCTGACACGGTGAGGGGCGACACCTCGTCCTCAGACACTGCCTCCAGTCCCGCACGTCGTAGACACTCGTCTATTAACACGTTTCTCTGTCAAAAATTATGACAGCGCTACAATAACCATGGAAGGTGCTACGGTGTAGTGAAAGGCGCAACAATAACCATGGAAGGTGTTACGGCAGCCGTGGAAAGCTCTACAATAACCATGGAAGATGCTACGGTGCAGTGGAAGGCGCTACGGTGCCCTTTGAAGGTTCTATTGAAATCGTAAAAGGTGCTATAGTAGCAGTGAAGGTAGAGGACTACGTTACTGTCGCAGTTAACGGAAAAAAAAACTCTTAACCCAAGTGTATTCGCCGAAAATAAAGATAAAACTCCTAAATAATAATAATAATAATATTATAAACTAATATTATAATATTTATAAACTAAAAGAGGAGGCAGTTAGGGTAAGATATAAACAGCTATTGGAGGATAGATGGGCAAATGAGAGCATAGGCAATGGGGTCGAAGAGGTATGGGGTAGGTTTAAAAATGTAGTGTTAGAGTGTTCAGCAGAAGTTTGTGGTTACAGGAAAGTGGGTGCGGGAGGGAAGAGGAGCGATTGGTGGAATGATGATGTAAAGAAGTAGTAAGGGAGAAAAAGTTAGCATATGAGAAGTTTTTACAAAGTAGAAGTGATGCAAGGAGGGAAGAGTATATGGAGAAAAAGAGAGAGGTTAAGAGAGTGGTGAAGCAATGTAAAAAGAGAGCAAATGAGAGAGTGGGTGAGATGTTATCAACAAATTTTGTTGAAAATAAGAAAAAGTTTTGGAGTGAGATTAACAAATTAAGGAAGCCTAGAGAACAAATGGATTTGTCAGTTAAAAATAGGAGAGGGGAGTTATTAAATGGAGAGTTGGAGGTATTGGGAAGATGGAGGGAATATTTTGAGGAATTGTTAAATGTTGATGAAGATAGGGAAGCTGTGATTTCGTGTATAGGGCAAGGAGGAATAACATCTTGCAGGAGTAAGGAAGAGCCAGTTGTGAGTGTGGAGGAAGTTCGTGAGGCACTAGGTAAAATGAAAGGGGGTAAGGCAGCCGGGATTGATGGGATAAAGATAGAAATGTTAAAAGCAGGTGGGGATATAGTTTTGGAGTGGTTGGTGCAATTATTTAATAATGTATGGAAGAGGTAAGGTACCTAGGGATTGGCAGAGAGCATGCATAGTTCCTTTGTATAAAGGCAAAGGGATAAAAGAGAGTGCAAAAATTATAGGGGGATAAGTCTGTTGAGTTATACCTGGTAAAGTGTATGGTAGAGTTATTATTGAAAGAATTAAGAATAAGACGGAGAATAGGATAGCAGATGAACAGGGGCTTTAGGAAAGGTAGGGGGTGTGTGGACCAGGGTTTACAGTGAAAACATATAAGTGAACAGTATTTAGATAAGGCTAAAGAGGTCTTTGTGGCATTTTATGGATTTGGAGAAGGCGTATGACAGGGTGTATAGGGGGGGCAATGTGGCAGATGTTGCAGGTGTATGGTGTAAGAGGTAGGTTACTGAAAGCAGTGAAGAGTTTTTACGAGGATAGTGAGGCTCAAGTTAGAGTATGTAGGAAAGAGGGAAATTATTCCCCAGTAAAAGTAGGCCTTAGACAAGGATGTGTGATGTCACCGTGGTGTTTAATATATTTATAGATGGGGTTGTAAGAGAAGTGAATGCGAGGGTCTTGGCAAGAGGCGTGGAGTTAAAAGAAAAGAATCACACACAAAGGGGAGTTGTCACAGTTGCTCTTTGCTGATGACACTGTGCTCTTGGGAGATTCTGAAGAGAAGTTGCAGAGATTGGTGGATGAATTTGGTAGGGTGTGCAAAAGAAGAAAATTAAAGGTGAATACAGGAAAGAGTAAGGTTATAGGATAACAAAAAGATTAGGTGATGAAAGATTGGATATCAGATTGGAGGAGAGAGTATGGAGAGGTGAATGTATTCAGATATTGGGAGTGGACGTGTCAGCGGATGGGTCTATGAAAGATGAAGTGAATCATAGAATTGATGAGGGAAAAGGGGTGAGTGGTGCACTTAGGAGTCTGTGGAGACAAAGAACTTTGTCCTTGGAGGCAAAGAGGGGAATGTATGAGAGTATAGTTTTACCAACGCTCTTATATGGGTGTGAAGCATGGGTGATGAATGTTGCAGCGAGGAGAAGGCTGGAGGCATTGGAGATGTCAGTCTGATGGCAATGTGTGGTGTGAATAAATGCAGAGAATTCGTAGTTTGGAAGTTAGGAGGAGGTGCGCGATTACCAAAACTGTTGTCCAGAGGGTGAGGAAGGGTTGTTGAGGTGGTTCGGCATGTAGAGAGAATGGAGCGAACAGAATGACTTCAAGAGTGTATCAGTCTGTAGTGGAAGGAAGGCGGGGTAGGGGTCGGCCTAGGAAAGGTTGGAGGGAGGGGGTAAAGGAGGTTTTGTGTGCGAGGGGCTTGGACTTCCAGCAGGCATGCGTGAGCGTGTTTGATAGGAGTGAATGGAGACAAATGGTTTTCAATACTTGACGTGCTGTTGGAGTGTGAGCAAAGTAACATTTATGAAGGGGTTCAGGAAACCGGCAGGCCGGACTTGAGTCCGGGAGATGGGAAGTACAGTGCCTGCACTCTGAAGGAGGGGTGTAAATGTTGCAGTTTAAAAACTGTAGTGTAAAGCACCCTTCTGGCAAGACAGTGATGGAGTGAATGATGGTGAAAGTTTTTCTTTTTCGGGCCACCTGCCCTTGGTGGGAATCGGCCAGTGTGATAAAAAAAAAAAAAAAAAAATAATAATAATAATAATAATAATAATAATAATAATAATAATAATAATAATAATAATAATAATAATAAAAAACTTACATTTTCACTCTTTAGAATAGTTTGCATTCAAGTGGTAGTCTTACCAACCTCTGTGATGATGGGCAGCCTCTCTCTCCTGACGTAGGCGGGGATGGGGACGACCAGGTCTTGTGGTGTCAAACTGAGCTCCATCATAATGTCATCACAGTGGTGTACATCACTCAGCTCCAGCGACACCAGTTCGTGCTGGGGAACACACAAACATAACTGAATGAAACCTTACGAATTGATTTTCGATTATAGAAGCTACGTTTTTTGAGCGTTATTTCAGGTAATTGACATGTGTTACTAGGTATGACATGTACTTATGTGTACCTAAATAGACGCATTTAGTCCCTCCCTCTGGGAAGGTTCCTCAATACTGGTGGAAGGCTCTTGATGCAAGTAAGTAGAGTATCATGTAGTGGTTAGAGCAGAGTAAGATAAGATTTTGTTTGGATTTTTAACCCGGAGGGTTAGCCATCCAGGATAACCAAGTAAAGCCAGAGCGTCATCGAGGACTCTCTTATATCCCCTGGGTCCTTTAATCTTCTTTCCCAGGATGACACTCAAACAGTCGACTAACACCTAAGAACCTGAACATCAAAATGGTATACAATACCGACAGGTTGGTAGGTAAGACACATAGGCAACAGTTAGGCAACTTTATTCCGAAACGTTTCGCCTACACAGTAGGCTTCTTCAGTCGAAAACAGAAAGTAGGCAGGAACAGTAGAGATGTGAAAACGATGTAATCAGTCCATCACCCTTGAAGTCGTAGAATTTGAGGTTGTCAGTCCCTCAGCCTGGAGAATCTCGCACGGGAGATTCGTCTGTAAAAACTTGCATTATTGGTCACAGTGGTGCCTGTGCTAACCTTCGTATGGTGTATAAATATATCTAGTTGGATGAATCTTATTGTAGCCAACTGGCCCAGTGGCTAACACGTCGGTCTGGAGTTTTATGACTCTCCGATCGCGGGTTTTATCCCCGCCCGTAATATGGTTTGTTTACAATCGTGTCATTACGATTTCGTGAGACAGAAGAATAGTTGGGATTTTGAATTCTACTCTTGCCTAACGTATAGTCATGACCTAGTTCCACCTCTGGATTTGTCCAAGGTGACGCAACCTACGACTGCTTAGCCTCACCTGTCTGCAGTATATAAGCTCCTTCGCATATATGCTGTATAAGAAAATATTAGTGGTTATAAATATAGCCATAATTTTTAAAGGGGTGGACAGGTAAGCCAGCGGAAGGTCTCCGTCAGATGACCAAAAGCTCCAGTTGTGGGTCATATGACTAAGAAACAATCGTCCTGTTTCCTGACAAACCTTACCTAACCTAAACTATATGCTGCACTCTTTTGAAGATTGATGGACTGATCACATCGGCTTCAGGCTGAGGGACTGATTACCTCAAACTCCTTCTGATCTTCAACCATTCTTCTCTGTGGCAGACTGAGGAAGCACTGATTGGCGAAACGTTTCCACAATAAATATGTCCAAGTGTTGCATAAGTATCTGATTAATAAACCTGTCGGTTATATGAACCAGTCATGTACACACTAAAGTAGGCCTAGCGGGCCATACTAGGCAGGTCATTTCACCTTCAGCTCGACGACCCTCCCGATGGTTGCGTCGAGGAGTCGACGCAGCAGGAAGCGCTTCTGAGGGTGCAGGAGGAGGTCATAGCAGGTGCTAAGCTTCCTAGCAGCTCCTAGGTACTGTACATACACCCGCCGCACTCGCGTCGTCACCTCCCCGCGTTGCTGCGTTTATATAGACGAAATTAGGTACTTAAGATGTGTTTCTACACTATTATACATGATAGTTACACAGTGGAAACACCCATAGTGTAGCTGCTACACTATTCTACATAACTGTTTATCTTACTCTTAAGACTTAACGTGGAATAAGTTTACATATTTCATATATTTATCAATACCTTCTATATTATACCAGCAGACTTAATTTTAACTTTACATAGATGAAAAAACTTACATCGTGATGAAATGTTCCTTGAAGTTCTTGATCTTTCTCCAATATAACAGTCAGTTCATCCTGAGCTTCGCCCCACAAGGCATTAAATGTCCTGCAAAGTAATAATTATTATTAGAAAATTAATAAGAACTGTTGTATGTTGTTACATTGCTATTTATTTAGATATTTAGGCTTTGTATAGTGTACCTGAACGACATTGTCAGTTGGTCACAGTTGTTTACATGGTTGTCATGGCAACATCTTTTATAAATATTTTAGGCACTTTGGGCCCTTCAAGGAAGGTTCCTTGATGCTGGCGAGGGGCTCTTAATCTAGGGAATTGGATCTGTACTCCAGTTCCCTGAATTAAGCCTGAATACCTTCCATCCCCCCCCCACGTGAGCTGTATAATCCCACGGGCTTAGCGCTCCCCATGATCATAATTATAATAATAATTTAGGCACTTTGGTCAGTTTATTGTCTAAATTGATTTGGTAATTAATTTAAACTTTAAATGCAAGTAAAACTGACTAAAACATATTTTAATAATGGTGCTGGAAAGTAACTGTTGGTTATATTTATGTTTTATAGAGCATTATTCATTTCATGATATTCACCAAATTATTGCAGTATTTAAGCAAATTATTGCCTTTTATTGAAGTTTTATTAAAGTACAAACAGACTGGTTGATCAGAGACAGTGTTGCAATTAGCGGACGGAGGATCGAACCTTCACCACTCCTTGCTCTAACTGATTCACACAGATACATAGCTTCCATAAATAAAATTTTGAATTTTATTGTCTTTTTAAATAATTAATAGTGTTGTTTAGTGAGGATTTATTAAAACCATCATGATAAACAATGCTACAAAGATAGGCTCGTAGTTCACAATGTTTACATATTTTTGTTACACTTCGCGCCAAATTCACGAACACGTTGGTCTGCTTAGCCGCGGGAGGAAGATACTCAGGTCTCTCAATTTTTTTAAGTGTTTTAGCGTTTCATTCGTTGTATCTGACTTCGCGTGAGGCCATATTAGTGCTTAAAGATGTATGTCAAAGTACGAACAATGGATGGTAGCCTGACGGCTGTGGTGACCATATCTAAACTGACCAGCGTCCAGGACTTCAGGGTGATGGTGGAGGAGAAGCTCAAGGTAGCGACTGACAGGCAACGGTTATTTTATCGTGGCAAACAGGTGAGTGCTTAATATTTATTTTAGATATTGTGGGTAAGGAGCAGTGCCCCTGCCAAGAGCTGCCACCACGTTATTTGGCAATTTCGGCACATATTATGGACAGTTACGTAAGTTTATTTAGATACAGGTACACATAAGTACAGTTATACATAGTAACATGTGTAAACTACCTAGGATAAAAAGAAGTCAGGCAGAATGTCTTATTTCCATTGGCGTAGCATGCTTTATTTTGAGTGCCAATAATCTCTGATGTTCCCAGGTCGTCTACTGGTCAGAAGTCTGATGTTGTCCTTCTAGTGGAGAGTTCTCCCGTACCAAAATTTTGAAAATCCCCCCCCCCCCTTACCAAAAAAAAATCCTAACCTGACCAAAATTTTCTCAGTGGATAATTCGTGGCCAAATTTTAACTTACAAGGCCTGCTGACTGGTGGTTTGAGAAGTTGGAGACTTAGCCAGACATAACATTTTGCATAAACTTTAATTATAGAGTGAATTTTAAATGTAATGGACCAGTATGAAGAGAGGGTGTCTAGTAATGCCAGTTCTGTTTAATTTGAATAAAAAGATTGTTTTGCCATGATCTAAATAAATTACAATTTTGGAAATGACAGATTTTGTCCATTGTTTCTGAAATCAGTTTACCTAGTAGTACATAACAGAAACAGGCAATTTTGGAAACAATAGACATGTCCACTGTGTCTGACAGATTTTGTTTGTTATTTCCGAAGTCCATTAAATCTAGAGTTTAAGGCATTTAAGGTACAGTATATAGACTTAAGAACTGTGTTTTCTTTTAACAGATGGAAGATGGATACAACTTGTTTGACTACAACATCAACATTAATGATGTAATCCAGCTGATGGTTAAACCAATCTTGACAGAAACTAATACAAATACTCCCAGTAAGCCTCAAAGTATGAAAAAGGAGACCAACTCTACTACAGATAAAGAAAATGTACAGGTATTGAGTCTATTTCAAGTGTAAATTTTGTCTTAATGAAGTTTATGTAGAGTTGATGAATAAAAATATGTAACATCTGGGTTTATATATTGATGGAGGACCCTTAAAGGTACCTATTTGGGAATGCTTGCAACTAATGGTTATTAAAAAGATGAATGGGGGGAAAAAGGGTTGTCCACATAATAGAAAGTATTGAAAGACAGCATATCAATGACCAAATTTTCAGAAGCTATTTAAATAAATCAATTTGCTGTAGTATTTTTATAGTTATCTGTGTTCTGATTAGTATTGTACTATACAGTACCTTGATGGATTAACCAAAACAAGAAACTGCAATATTATCTGCATTCTGGCTAGTTATTTTTCAGGCAACTCACATTCATTTGCTAAATATTAAATTTTATTGTGAGATTTTTTGGTTATGTGAGTCCAGAATGTACATCTTAACAATTGCCCTATTGTGACACAATCATCTGTTGTTTTGCCTTTTATTTGTTATGGTCATCATCATCATCATATATTTACAGAATAATGAGAGGAAGAAGGATAGTATCAGTGAAAGCAAAAGTGAATATAAGAGTTGGAGATCTGGTAGATGTCAAGTTTCTCTCTGATGGAACATGGTGGGAAGGAAAAATTGTGAAGATAACATCTGCCCCAGAAACCACAGAGCCTAGTAATGGAGACGATGGTTTTCTCTATCATATTGTTTATGAAAGGTAAGTTAAAAATCTTTAGCTTTTAAAATTATAGTAATGTAGTGGGGGAAAATTTTTGTTGTAGAATGAACCGTACAAAGTACACTAATTAAAGATAGCAAGTAGCCATCCTAAAACATAATGCTGTATTTATAGATTCACTTTTAGGGAAATGCAAAATTATCAGTGATTCACATGCATATGCTGTGTTTTTGTGTGTGTTTTGTTTATTTGTGCGTTTTTATATATAATTATAAACGGAACACTGATATTATTGGATAAAACAACTTCAGACACTTGTGACTGTGTACCAGTGGTTTTATTTACAACTTTTGTTATGGATTGATGAAGGACCATAAATAAAATTAGAGTAAATGTTGTGGAAAATGAGCAGGCATAAGTGTGAACCTTCATGGAAGATGTAAAAAAAGTGAGTATCTTGGGAGAGGTGAAGCCTTCTGGGTAGAGGGAAAGTTGGAAATGGCTCATTTCATAAATTTTTTTGTACTGTAGGAACATTGATGGAGTGTGACTTTACTGTAAAGTTGGTTACCTTACTTTATAAAGTTCCAGTTCTACACTGGGAAAGCTGGAATGGCAGCCAGATTTCTGGATTAATGACTTCTTTATGTATGAGTGAAATCAAAATGTTACTAATGTGAGACATGCAAAACCATAAAACTAGACCCCGTATTTACTAAAAAGAAAATCATTATAAATTATCTAAAAACCCCCTTGGAGGGGGATTTGTGTTCTCTTTGAAATAACATTTGCTGCTTAAAAAAAGAAACTGGGAGACAAAGAAAAATCTCAGAAAGTCTCATTATAAGAAAGGAAAATATAATATAGTACAGATTTCACAGAACATTTGGGTTGTTAAATGCATTAGTATATTGCAAGAAGTGTTTTGGGTAAAAGTTTTGAAAATTTGCATAGTAGATTCCATGAACATAAGTTCTTCTTTCAACACACCCGGCTGTTATCCCACCGAGGTGGGGTGGCCCAAAGGAAAACGAAAGTTTCTCCTTTTGCATTTAGTAATATATACAGGAGAAGGGTTATAACCCCTTGCTCCTGGCATTTTAGTCGCCTCTTACAACATGCATGGCTTGCGAAGGAAGAATTCTGTTCCGCTTCCCCATGGAGGTAAGAGGAAATAAATAAGAAAAAGAACTAGTAAGAAATAGAAGAAAACCAGAGGGGTGTGTATATATATGCTTGTACATGTATGTGTAGTGTGACCTAAGTGTAAGTAGAAGTAGCAAGACGTACCTGAAACCTTGCATGTTTATGAGACGGAAAAATGGACACCAGCAATACTACCATCATGTAAAACAATTACAGGCTTTCATTTTACACTCGCTTGGCAGGACGATAGTACCTCCCTGGGCGGTTGCTGTCTACCAACCTGGAAATATAAACACATATGCAGTATAATGTGATCCTTTATTGACTACGTTTCGCCCACACAGTGGGCTTTTTCAAGTCACAAACAGAACTACCTGGGGTGGAAGGAACGCGAGTATTTATAGTCAGGTTCAGAATGCTGAGGTCAGGTGGAGAATGCTGCATCTGATGATGTACCAAGTGGGGTTATAGAGTCTAAAATCTTGGGTAGCTTGGAAAGGAGATTGGATAAGTTTGTGAGCAGACCTTCTATTTTTTTTATTATTATTATCACACTGGCCGATTCCCACCAAGGCAGGGTGGCCCGAAAAAGGAAAACTTTCACCATCATTCACTCCATCACTGTCTTGCCAGAAGGGTGCTTTACACTACAGTTTTTAAACTGCAACATTAACTCCCCTCCTTCAGAGTGCAGGCATTGTACTTCCCATCTCCAGGACTCAAGTCCGGCCTGCCGGTTTCCCTGAATCCCTTCATAAATGTTACTTTGCTCACACTCCAACAGCACGTCAAGTATTAAAAACCATTTGTCTCCATTCACTCCTATCAAACACGCTCACGCATGCCTGCTGGAAGTCCAAGCCCTCGCACACAAAAACCTCCTTTACCCCCTCCCTCCAACCTTTCCTAGGCCGACCCCTACCCCGCCTTCCTTCCACTACAGACTGATACACTCTTGAAGTCATTCTGTTTCGCTCCATTCTCTCTACATGTCCAAACCACCTCAACAACCCTTCCTCAGCCCTCTGAACAACAGTTTTGGTAATCCCGCACCTCCTCCTAACTTCCAAACTACGAATTCTCTGCATTATATTCACACCACACATTGCCCTCAGAAATGACATCTCCACTGCCTCCAGCCTTCTCCTCGCTGCAACATTCATCACCCACGCTTCACACCCATATAAGAGCGTTGGTAAAACTATACTCTCATACATTCCCCTCTTTGCCTCCAAGGACAAAGTTCTTTGTCTCCACAGACTCCTAAGTGCACCACTCACAATTTTCCCTCATCAATTCTATGATTCACCTCATCTTTCATAGACCCATCCGCTGACACGTCCACTCCCAAATATCTGAATACGTTCACCTCCTCCATACTCTCTCCCTCCAATCTGATATTCAATCTTTCATCACCTAATCTTTTTGTTATCCTCATAACCTTACTCTTTCCTGTATTCACCTTTAATTTTCTTCTTTTGCACACCCTACCAAATTCATCCACCAATCTCTGCAGTTTCTCTTCAGAATCTCCCAAGAGCACAGTGTCATCAGCAAAGAGCAGCTGTGACAACTCCCACTTTGTGTGTGATTCTCTATCTTTTAATTCCACGCCTCTTGCCAAGACCCTGCATTTTTCTCTTACAAACCCCAT